CATGGATTCAATTCTACTCCTTTTCCTGTTCAATGTATAATCTATTTCTGAGAATTTGTATTAATCTTCTGGATTTCTATCTTTAGATTTTGTATCATTTCTAATTTATTTATCATTTTGTTTCTTATATTGTCTTCCGAGAGCATCCTAGGGTTTTCTCTGTGTTTTCCTTAATTTTGTCAGTGTTTTCCTTGATCTCTCAATGTACCTAAATATAATTCTTTTGAATTCCTTATCAGGGAGTTTCATTGCTGCTTTCTCCTCAGGGATGTGTTGTGGTTCTGCATCCTGATCCTTTGTTTCTACTGTTTTATCTTGCTTCTTTGCATGGAGTGTGATGATCTGTTGTTTCTGAGACATTGTGATGTTTTTGTGTTTATATTTAATTGGTGACTGTATGTTGGTGTGAGTCACCCACAAATTTCATTTTGTTTTGTCTGTATCTGAGCAAGCGGGTATTGTGCTCCTCTATTTGCTAGTTGACAGCACTTATGCACTCACTACCTGTCTCCTTTCCAATCGTCAGCCTCCTGTATGTCTGTGCTGTCCTTGATAGGTGGAGCCTATTTTTAGGTCCCTGGAATCTGAACAAGAATGTTATCACTTTAAATACCCAAAATGGCTGCCACCTGTAAACATTCAAAATGGCTGCACCCAGCTGCCACTTGTAAACATTCAAAATGGCTGTGCCCTCTGTATAGCTAAAAGTCCACAGCTCAATTTGTGTCCTTTTTTGCTGTTTCCCTTTTCAGTCATCAACTATCTGTGCAGTAGTCCACGCACTCCTTGGTGAGCAGGGCTGATTTTTAGGTTAGTTCTCACATTCTAACACCACTTGGAAATATTCAGGCTGTCTGTGCCATCAGGATAACTGGCTGTACACAGCTCCATTTGCTTCCTTACTCACTGTTTTCATTCAGGTTCTTCTACTAGTTGGTGTTTAATCGACTTCTGTATCCTTCCTTTCAAAGCTCGGGGCTTCAGGATTATCTTCTGTATCCATGTCAACTGGTTTCTCTTTCCTTTGTTGAAGAGGGTTTGTGTAGCTTGTCTGCCTATTCTGCCATCTCAGCAGAAGTCCTCAACATTTTTCAGTATTAAAAACTTGTTTTGTGTGATTATAAATGTTCTGCAACATTTTTTTTTTTTTTTTTTTTTATTTGGGTGAAGATTTACAGAGCAAATTCACTTTCCATACAGCAGTTCACATATACTTTGTCACATGTTGTTGACCACAGTTTACCACAATGCAGCAGCTCCCCTCCCACTTCCTCCCCATAGTTACCTCTTCCGAGTGTCCATCCCTCCATACTCTCCTGCCACCTGAGCTGTCTCCCTGTACATAAGCAGCCCTTCCTTCTCCCATGATTGTTCTCTCCAGGGCGTGTGTCTACTTGAGGTAAATGTTTAACTCACATGCCTGTACTTTGTTTGGCTGGAAACCACAGGTGTAGGTTCAATTCCAGACCTGAAGGGCAGCTAGGGGCCATAGTCTTGGTGGTTCCACCAGGCTCTATTTCTGCAGCATTTCTTAATTGCAAAGTACTATGTGGAAAAAACAGACTTCTGAATGGGATGAAATGAGAAATGAAAGACTAGCTCTGGTTTTGGCTATTATCTGACATTTCAGACGAGATTACTCATTCCTTTCATAATGGCAAGCAAGATAACTCTTATTTTTAGACAGAACATGACAAGGCGTAAACTTCACTGCTTAAAAGAAAGAAAATCTAGGATTACTATGATTTTTTTCTGGATAACTTACTGATGAAGACAAAGTTTCTCTGCAGCGTAATGAGGTCTATAAGTCATTGATATAGGATTTGGTAATTTCAAAAATAGTGAAGTAGAATTATAATATCAGGAGATATTATGGGATAATTTTTTACATATCTTTCCTAACCAGTAATTCTTGTTTATTTCCTGTCATATACTTCACACTTATTCACTTCATATTTGATTATTTCTTCTGCTATTAGAACTACAATCTCTCTATTACATTGAGTTATCTACTACCTTCTCTACTTGTTATATATATTCCTTTTTATACCACTAATTCCTATCTTTTGGAAATATTCTCTAATACTGGAAAAAAGCACTACTAAACTAAGATTCAGCCTGTTTTCAAGCTAATTTCACTTAAACAGTCACCTTGAAAATGAGGTTAGCAAACTGGTATCATCTTAGACTTAATTACTTAAAAATGTTTTCAATGAGGATGCATTTTTGAGTGTAAAATAGTAAGAGCAAGAATGCTTGGTTTCCATGTCACTGTCAGACAAAACAACCAGTCCCTAAGGCACTCAACTGCTAACCAGAAGGCTGGTAGTTCAAACCTACCAGACACTCCTCGGAGGGAAGGTTGGACAATCTACTTCCATAGTGACACTGCCTTGGAAACCCAAGGAGGGGTCGCTATGAGTCAGATCTGACTCAATGGCAAACAACAATAACAACAATGTAGAATAGACTTGTTTTTATCACTATAACTAATAAAAAATACAATCCCCTGAGGAAGGGTTTGTTTATTGGCATTCTTTTGTAAAGGTGCAAAAATAAACATTCAAGTCTACAAACATATTAAATGATTACATAATTTAAATAAAATTTTTACCTAATGCTCAGTGACATAAACATTTAAAATATATAATTAAAGATATACATGCTAGATGGTCAAATGGAAAACTGAAGTCAAGAGGGATTAAACATCCCTTCACTGCACACACTCTCAGGGTAAAGGATAACTCTATCTTTATAACTCACTCACTGTTTTGGTTACCTCTAGTGTTGCTCTAACAGAAAATACTACAAATGGGTGAGTTTAACAAACAGGGATTTATTCTCTTACAGTTTTGGAGGCTAGAAGTCCAAGTTCAAAGTGGAAGCCCTCTGACCTTGGGCTTCAGCTCTGCCTCTTGCTCCTGGTCCACTGGAGCTAGAGGCATCTCTTCACTCAGGCAGCTGTGAACAACTAAGTCAAACCCAAGTATGAGAAGTAAAATGGCACAGTTCCAAAATTATCAAACCACACAGCAGACCACTGATTCAAGTCCATTAACAGTCTCAATATCAACAGACAACATGGCAGGCTGCTGAATGACTCAGCTACATGCAGTTTTCAAACATGCCAAAAGCTGCTGAGACCCTTCTCAAAACTTTTCCTTCTATACTAGAAACAGACAACATCCCTAAGGCAGCTACACAGCTGCTCCAAGAGATTCCACCATGGAGTTGATTATCAATCTCACCATGGAGAATAACTACATCCAATTGCCCAGCTACTCAAAACCAGGCCCAGCAAAGTTGATACATAACCTTAGCTACCACAATTCCACCCCCTGTCAACCTGATACCTGTACAGATCTTCACCAGGTGGCACCTATACAGAGTTCCTTCATTGGGTGGCTCTAGTCCCCTAGTTCATATGCGTAGCAACCTCACCCCCTTGGCCTGGTAGGCCCAGTTCCTCTACCTTTTGGGCATGGCAGTTCTGCCCCCTCACTTTTGGGCAACAGGTATGGCTCCATCCCACTGGCCCACATGAATGAGCAGCTCCACACTCCAGAACCAAGTTGATGAAGGTCTGACTCTTTGAAACCTAGGAGGCTGTGACGGTTCCATGCCCAGAGGCCACAGTCTTACCCTCTGAGGCGAAGGCAGCTCTGCTTCCCGTTTTCTTGGTCTCTCTGCTCCTACCAATTAATACCTGAAGGCAACCCACTCCACCAGGATCTTCCTGCCCAAAAGACACTCAGCTTTCCTGCTCTGTGGGCTGGTAAGCCTGTCGCTGTCTCATGCTGTCTCACACCAGTCTCTTGGCTTAGCTGCTGCCGGGGTCTCCCTGACAGGGTTAAGGACATACTCCACTCCTGTTTCCACATTTTAGGCATCTGTCAGAGCAGTACCCTACTCTCTTAGTACTAAATTCTGTTTTAGTGCCATTCTAACAGTAAATAACACAAATGGGATGGCTTAAACAAACTGGAACTTATTCTCCTACAGTTTTGGAGCCTAGAAGTCTGAGTTCAAAGTGCTGCCTCTAGGGGATGGGTGAAAGTCCCTCAAGCTTGGGTTTCAGCTCTGCTTCTTGCTCCTGGCCCACTGGAGCTGGAGGTATCCCTTCACTCAGGCAGCTGTGAACTGCTGAGGCTGTCAAACCCAAGGATGACAAGTAAAATGGCACAGTTCCCAAATTATCAAACCACATGGCAGGAGTCCATTAACAGTCCCAAGATCAGCAGACAACATGGCAAGCTGCTGAATGATGACTCAGCTACACACAGGCTTCAAGCAAGCCAAAAGCTGTTGAGGCCCCTCTCAAAACTTCTTCTATATTGGAAGCAGACCACACTCTAAGGCAGCTTACTCAGCTGCTCCAGTAGATTCCACCATGGAGTTGATTACCAGTCTTACCATGGGGAATAACTACATCCAGCTGCCTAGCCACTCAAAACCAGGCCCAGCCAAGTTGACACATAAACTTAACTACCGCACTCACCTACGCATTTATTCCTATAATATGTATATGCGACACTCAAAATTCCCTACTATAAAAATGCATCAATTTTCTCAAATAAAATCTTCATTCATTTTCTGTTTTTAAAGCAATTTATTTTCTGATGTTCACAGTAGTCAAATTTACTTACTCTTTAAGACGTGCCATTTTTATGATACACACATTGTGTATAATCACACTGCAGTAGTCTGATAAATCAGAGACCAAAACAGAAATAAATGTAAACTCTAGGTGGATCAAATAATTTCTTGTTGAGCACAATCCTTTAGTCTGAACTCTAGGGAGATTTTTAAAAGAGAATGCATCCTTTGAATTTGTATAGCATAAATTTATAAAAGAACTTTTACTAAATATGTATTTAATGAGTTTGTAAGAGACACAAAATTGTCCCTACAGTCAATATTCTAAGAATAATTTACCATCATCACCTATATTATTCTTTGAAAAGAAAACTTATTTCTTAAAATGTGTACAGATATACACAAACTCTTTACATTAAAATCAAGAAATTTATTAATATTTTTTCACGAAGTAGTAAGCAGAATTAAAGCAAAGAAAAAATATACAGCTTAAAACAGTTGAAATGACCCTAAAATTTTTAACAAGTATACACTGATGGCCAAAAGAAAAATGAATGGGTTTTAATAATTAAATCACTTAAAATGTTTTGTTCAATAATTCATCACCTGAAGTTAAACAGATACAAGGATAACTGGAGATCTGGGCACCTTGTAAAATTAAATAAAGCCATTTTATCCTTAAAAAACAAAACAAAACAAACTGTGATCCTAGTATAACAGTGGTTTGGTTCTGCTCCTCATTCACAGAAGCCACTTCTCCATTCTACCACTTACAAACATATCAATTATCAGTCTGCTCCGATTTGTAAGGATGCCAATTTTGGCTCCACTTAAAAATATTCCCAGTAGGCAGTCAGAGAAATAAGACTTAGCCCTAGGAACCTCTACAGAAAAGTAGAGGATCAGTATCACCATATTGGTCATGGCTTTCTTCTAGTGCTCGCTGAGGTCAAATTTCCTCATGTACTTATAAATGTTAAAAGGTAAAATTACATTTTAACAGCAGCCAAAATTAGTATTCTTTAATGTATTTACAATATAGTACATATTTACATTCTCACATCAAATACTGAATTGTAGAAACATGAGACCACTTACAAAGGCATTCATTTAATGCCCTAGCATTATTTTCTTGTGCAAACGGAAAGTCTTCTCAAACTTCTTAGAAAACTAGAGACAGTCAACATTGCGAAGGCCACCATCCATGGTCAAAGAGCCAAACCTAAAACACAGAACAAAAGAAAAAATGCAATCACCAAAGATGAATTTATTTGGCCTCCAACATCTTAAAGACTATAGAATACTTTTCAGAGGAATAGTCATTTTTAAAAGGTTTAAATAACTATTATTTGCTCTACTTCTTATTCTGCAAATATTAGTAGTATTAAATATATGAAACACACACACACACAATGCAGTGACTGGGGAAGACTTTTCAAGAGAAAATGGGAAGTCATGTAACATAGAAAACGTTAGAATGATGTAATTTCTTTTTGGTAGGGTAGGATGGAAATTATAAGCATGATGTAGATTAAGTCTACATCAGTGATGGGAGTATATCTGACTTACTCAAGGGATAATGAGAAATGGTACCTTCCAGAAAATAGGATGTTATATTGGGGCATAGTGGGCAATAAAGTTGAGTGACTATTTTGGGACCAGACTATAATATTCTTGAGTGGAAGTGTGAATTCAGATTTGACTTTTTAGGTAACAGGATCTTCGGAGTTTTTAAGCCAAGAGAGTGGCATGATTAAATTAGTATTTGGGAGGATTACTTTAACTGTAATATCCACGATAGATAGGAACAGCCTAAAATTAAAGGAATAGGTTAGTTAGTTATTACCATAGCTCACATTGAGAGGTAAATTCTAACCCAAATCCACTGCCATAGAGTCAATTCCCACTCATAGTGATGCTTTAACAGAGTAGAACTGTCCTCCATCAGTGTTTCCCAGGCCATAAATCTTTATGAAGCGAACTACCTCAACTTTCACCCATAGAACAGTTGGTGAGTTCAAACTGCCAACCTTATGGTTAGCAGCTGAATGCCTTAACCACTGTGCCACCAGAGTTCACTGTGAGAAGTAAAGGAGATCTGAATTATGGAGAGGGAATATGAAGTATTTTAAAGGAAGATTACCAAACATCATGAGAAGGAGTAAAGAAGAGTGTCTAAAATATTTTGAAGGCTGATAATAAATGAAGTGATATCCACGTGGAGACCGAATGGTACAACATTTACATAAGACCTGGCTTTTATCATTTATTCTGTCACCATTCCTTAAACTGTCACTTAACATTTAAGTTATAGGATTATGCCATGATTATCACCCATATATTGTCAAATGAACCTGCAAAAAAATCATGTTTTGGGAACTGGGGATTTTAATCCACAAGGCATAAGTGATTCAATATAAAAGTTTGCTGAAGCATATTTTAACAGTTGTTTCTGTTGATGTTCAGCCCTACTAGATAAATTTAAGATTTAGTTGAAATTGTGAAGAAATTATAAACTGGATACTATAATATGTTAGATAGTTACAATATGGTTTCTATAAACCAACAGGAAAAGATAAAACCTAACTGGCAATTCACAGAAAAAAATTAAAATTGAATAAAAAAGAAAATGCTTGATATCACTGTTAGCCAAAGAAATGCAAATTAAAACAAGGTACCAGTTTTTACTAAGCAAACACTTAAAAGTCCAATAACATTCAGCATTGACAAAGGCATAGTTTTTGTCAGTTATAGAACCATAACATAACCCTTTTAAAGAACAAATTAACAATACAATAAAAATTTAATTGTTCATATCCTTTGACCCAACAATTCCACATAAATTGTTCCCTCAAGAATTCTGATGGAAGTATGTGAAGATATATACAAGGATGCTCACCAAGGCATGGGTTTTTTTTTTTTAGGATGAGGAAATTTTTCTTTATTGACTAATTCCAGGGACTAACTCCATGTAGAAGAAGTGATAGAATTAGAAAAATCAACATTTTTCAACCCTCCCCCAATTAAAATAATTGATTCAGGCAAGGATCCTCAGTGGATGTTATAATCATTATGTAAAAAGAAGCTGGGAATAGTTAATCCATGCCCTGCCAAGGTGTCAGCTCATCAACTACTTGCCAACTGTAACGGGAAAAATGGACCTTTACAATGGAGACATCTGGCTTTCTCTACCCTAGCCAAGGGCTCAGGAGTGGGACAAACCTGGTATCATATGCCTCTTGATAATGAGGTCATTTGAAGGACACAATATCATCTACGAAATATTACCTCTAAAGTGTTCAACCAAAACATAAACATTTAATCAATATTTTTAACATAGCTTACAATTTACAGTAAAATAAAGGAATGAACAAACAGATTTAGTGACACACCAAAAACCACATCCACTGCCTTTCAGTCAATGCCGACTCACAGCAACCCTACAGGACAGAGCAGAACTGCTCCACAGGCTGTAAATCTTTACAGAAGCAGACTGTCACATCCTTCTCACACAAAGTGGCTGGTGGGTTTGAATCACCAACTTTTTAGTTAGCAGCTCAGTGCTTTAACCACTGTGCCACCATAGCTATAAATTTAGTGACAATATACACAAAAAATAACCAGACAAAATTAGTGTGTGGAACCTTCTACATGACAATCAGTCTGGTTTTGTCATGTGTGGACATAAAAACCAGGTAGAAGGACAGTTACTCTAAATGAAGAGATTAAAGAAACAAAATCAACAAATGCACCATATGAAATGTCACCAATGCTGCATTCTTTAAAAAAGCTGTAAAATACACTGGGAAAAGTCTAGAAATACTTGGGAAAATTTAAATATGGATGTTTATTTACATGATGTTACGGAATTATAGTTAATTTTTTAAAAAAATAGTATTTTATTGAGTTTTTGGAGAAAGTTTATACAGCAATTCAAATTCCCATTTGACAATTTCCACACAAACTGTTCAGTGAAATTAGTTACATTTATCACAACATGTCCATATTCTCCTTGTGTATGTTCCCTTTTGAGTACTCTAGTTTCCCTGACCTCTTATCTTCTCATCTTTGTTTTCAGTAATTGTTGATCTTTTGATTTCATACTGATGGCTTTTAAGTAGAGCACCAACCTTGTAATATCCTTCATTTTGTGTGCCACTCTGTTATTTCACTAAAAGGTGATCTCAAGGGATAGGCTTGGTTTTAGATATCCCTTCCATTACGAAACTATTTTTTGTGTGTAAGATTTTACAGATAAAATTGTTGTTTTGTTTTGTTCACAGATGCATGCTTAATCATTGAGTGTCTTAAATTTTTTGTAAGGAATGATAGATTGTGATACATATTTTGTGGGACACATAGTCCCAATGGGCTCTGAGGACAGGATAGGTGGGATGAGGCATGGAGAAAATATTCACTTGAATACTATCTAATACTATCTCACATTGCATCTTCCCAATCACACAGGAAAGAGTAAAAATATTGACAAACCTTATCTTGCCATACAGAAGCCCAGAGAAACAAAAGTTTTACACACTTTCTTCTAAGATGCACTGCCTCATGCAATAGCCTTTCAACATAGTAATACGTCACCGATTAACATTCTTCTCTCAGTTATGCCAAGAGATTTGGAAGACAGCTACCTGGCCAACTGACTGGAAGAGATCCATATTTGTGCCCATTCCAAAGAAAGGTGATCCCAC